TGTGTGTGTGTGTGTGTGTGTGTGTGTGTGTGTGTGTGTGTGTGTGTGTGTTTGTTTGTGTGTGTGGGTGAAGGCTAGGCTCTAAGCTATGTGCTAAAAATAACGTTAAGCAACAGTCTCTCTATTGTAAATTGTCAGTCGCGCACGGGCTTAACCAGTCGTGCGCGGCTTAATATCACGTTGCGCATAAGGAGACACTTGTCCCACGCAACTGAAAATTCTAGCGCGATTGGGGCGCGCATAATGATACACACTTCGCGACTCAGCGCAAGCGACTGTCGTGCGCGACTAAACATCGCATCGAACTTAAGGAGACATATAGGCTTAATTTGCACATGTCTCTTTTCCTCGTGTTTCAGGATCAACAGCTACAACCATGTCAGTGCCCAGAGTCCGTTCGGTGGATACAAGATGTCTGGCCTGGGGAGAGAACTGTAAGTCCAATCATCATCATCTTCATTTTCATCATCGTCATCATCGTCATCATTGCCATCATCATCATCATCATCATTTTTGGTAGCAGGGAATTGAAAAAAAGGGGTTGAGACTTAGTAGATTTTTCAAATTTAATACAGGTTCAACGTTTCGCCCTGTAAAGGGCTTCATCAGGAACACGATACAAAAAAACAATGCTACATTAATACAAAATAATACCCCCCAATTTTTTTTTTTTTAAATCATCATCATCATCATCATCTTCATCATCATCATCATTATCATCATCATCATCGTCATCCATCATCATCATCATCCAGTTTCTTGGCGACTGGCGTGGGCGATCATGGAACGCCACTTGAATCTGTCTTGCGTTGCAACAATGGTGTCGTTTGTTCTTGCTGTTCCCAGCCGTGTTGTCATCTTGTCCAGTATCTTTTCCCTCTGTCTGCCTCTGCCTCTCTTTCCATCAGACCTGCCTGTTGTTACAATATTTGTAAGTCTCATAATTCTTTCTTTTAACCCTTTGAGCTCTGACCTCCTGGGGCTACTGTGCCCCTTCTGCTTAAGCTCCTGAGTGATGTGGTAGCTTTAAAGCACAAGGGGGCTATCCCGAAAAGAAAAAAAAACATCTTGGAAAAACAAAAAATTGATTAGAAAAATAGAGAGAGGATTTTTGTTTGCTGAGCAGGCATTCATGAACATTTGTTCTATTTTGGCTCGTTACCAAGGACACAGTATGTTTCTATGGCAGTTTTGATACTAAGAACTTTACATTTCATCTCACAATTACGGGGAATCAGCCCCCTTAACCCTATCCGTACGCCATGTTTTACTTTCGTATCCATATGACGTGGGGAACTCTGTGCCACCACTTTCAAAGAGGAAATTTACTCGCTAATCCGATCCGCATGCTTTGCATAGCAGTCTGTCAGAATGATTTTTTGGGAAATACTGACAGTTTCAAAGAGATCTTCGTACTAGAAGTATTCTAAAATGTGAAGAATAGAACCGCGGGGCTACAAAATGACCCCAGGGCGTATGGATAGGCATATAAAATAAGATCTGCCCCAACCATTTCCATTAAAAAAAATCAGCTGAAGCATTTTTTATTCACAAAAGCATACCTGTCATAATGATGTACTGTGATATATATGCATGTGTATGTCAGACTGTGAGACTGGAGAAATAGCGAGTGAGAATGAGAGAGAGAAAAAGAGAGATATAGAGAGAGAAAAGAGAGAGAAAAGAGAGAGATAGCGAGAGAGGGAGAGAGAAAGAGAGAGAGAGATAGAGGGAGAGGGAGAGAGAGAGAGGGAGAGGGAGAGAGAGAGAGATAGACAGAGAGAGAGAGAGAGAGAGATAGACAGAGAGAGAGAGAGAGAGATAGAACGGAAATGTTTTTCTCTCTGTATAGAATTAATGTTTTAATGAATGTTTCTAGTTACTCACGTTTCAACTGTATTTTGACTGTTCGTGAATTTATATTGCATTGTATATTTTTAGTGAACACATTTTCAACCTCACTGCGAGACTGTTTTTCTGGTATAAAATTTTGCACATATGCATTTATATTATTATGTATAATACTTTGTTTTACGTAGACATTTGTGTTGATTAATTTTTAAGATGTGATGTCTTTTTCATTGTAATGCGCATTGAGCATCTTTTAGGAAATGGAAATGCGCAGTATAAATGCTATTTATTATTATTAAGTGATATGCTCTGTCCTTCACTGACAAAGCGCCTCTTTAAAAATTTACAGCAATTTCAAGAGAAATCTTCGATTTTCAGTTTTCTTATAATTCCTTTACTATTTTGCACAGTACATCAACGTTTGATCTCGCTCCCTGAAGAGAATGTCATTCCCTATGCTCCGCAGATATTATGAAAAAAACAAAAACAATTTATTTCTCAAAACTGGTATAAATAAAAAAAAGGCGTGTTGTCAGCGTTGGGCAGAACTGATGTTACTTGATAATTGATCTGTTCATGAAAGTAAAAATGTTGTTTATATTCAAATCTGTTCTAATCTGTCCCCATGGTTTTATGCACCCCGCAAAATTTTGCAAACTTTGATCATTTTTTTGCTTAATTTCTTATTATTTCCCTTTATCATTCTTTGCTAAAATTAACAGAATCTCATAATTTCGCATTTTTGGGCTCAGTTTGAATAATTTCAGAATTTTTCTTGCTTTAAATGTCGGGGGACAGTCTAATGGCCACCTGTGTAAGAAAATCACTTTTAGAGACAAGCACTCCCTATTTCCCTCATGCGTTTGAAAAAGAAAAAGAAATTAAAACGTTACTTTCCAAGACAACATCTCAAAGAAGTTCACTTTTCTCCTCAACTCTAGGTGGCAGTCTTGGATCATTTTGACTGTAAGCTTTGACGAAAGCTGTAGAATCTGACACAGTTTTCTCTCCGTTATGATAGGCCACAGTTTATTTTTTCCGTTGATGCTGCTGTTTCTTTCATTATGATTAACCTGGGAAAGAGACCAAGAGGAAGACCAAAATTGAGGTGCAAAGACACCTGCAAAAACAGCTTATCTAAGCTTGGAGTAGATGTTAGCATCTGAGAAGACATAGGTGAAGACTGGAAAACATGGCGGAAAATGATAAAGGAAAGAACTATAATGCTATAGGGCAGCTTTAGAAACAACCAAGCTGAGAAGCGCCAACGACGAAAGGAAAACAGCGTAAATACAGAGCTTCGATCTACGACACTGACATGCAAGCCCTGCGACAGAATCTGCGCTTCAAACATAGGAAGAATTAGCCATGAAAGAAGCTGCATGAAGAAAACCTTGAGACCATCGTAAGCTAAATTGACCGTCTGCATAGACGAACAGAGCCATATATATATATGATTAACCAGCGTTGCACTGCCCCGTTTCTCCCCAGCTGATCCCTGACCATGTGTATAAATTTCTAAGACTTTGTTCTCTCGTGTTTTTCTCAACAGTGGCGAGTACGGCCTGCAGAACTATGTGGAGGTGAAGCACGTAAGTGATGGATTCCTGGGTGGTTGGCGGGTGCTCTGGTGTGGTTTGCTCCTTCTTTCCGATCGAACATCGATCGTCCTTGTCTCTCCTCCTTTTTTTTTGTGTATGTTCCTCTCTTGTAACACATCCACACACTTAATTCTTCAGCACTTATATATGACTTATTGTGTTGCAAATGTTCTTTCTGCTCTATCGCAATCGTAAGAATATTCTGAGTCGATTTCAAGATAATCAAAGAATTGCATTAGGAAAAGCTTGACATATTGCGAAACTAAACAAGTTTGATGTCAAATTTCTCAAAATTAGGTATTGAGCTGAAAGAAATTTGTAATTCTGAGGTAGAAATTTGTAATTCTGAGGTAGTGATTTGTCTGCCCTTGCTTTATGGGAATTTTCTGAAAAGTTCCCGGTAGCCCGTGCTGCTGGCCAGTTTTCATCACACCGTTGTCCCTTTTACATGTCTGTTCAGTAGACTTCATCTGTCTCTGACATCTCTTCTGTAGACTTCATCTGTCTCTGACATCTCTTCTGTAGACTTCATCTGTCTCTGGCATCTCTTCTGTAGACTTCATCTGTCTCTGGCATCTCTTCTGTAGACTTTATCTGTCTCTGGCATCTCTTCTGTAGACTTCATCTGTCTCTGACATCTGTTTTGTAGACTTCATCTTCCTCTGACACGTATTTTTCATATGTGAGGTGTGCTGACAAAATGAGTTACTTCTCGCGATCAAAGAATGGAGATATCGGCCAAAATTTGACTCAAGGGTCATATTTGTAGATTCTCAACCAATGCCATTCCCTTCAAGTTTAACGTGTCCTTTATAATTTCGTACTAGTAAATTGTAGAAACTCAACCTATAGATTTGACGCATCAATTTCCATCGGGCTTAAATCCGAGAAGTAACTACTCATTTTGTCAGCACGCTTCACATATTTTGAAAAACTGTTGCTGTGACACCAGATGAGTAATTTGTATATATTTTTGCCATTCTGGGAATTTATACAAGTTCCATGCAGTTTTAATTTTAAAAAGTATATTCCAGTACACCTCTCCAAAACCGTGTTTCTGATGTGAGCCACATAGCTATCATTCATGTGTGTCCACTAGTTTCAGTTTGTCTCCAACCAGAAACATTTTCTCTTGTGGGTGGTGGGCAGGTACTCTGGTTTGGTTTGCCTCTTCGCTCCTATCAAACTTCTATCGTCCCGATCTCTCCTCCTCCTTATTTGTGTTTGCTACTCTCTAGTACCACCAATAATCTTCAGCTCTTAACTCAACATATGTGTCACGACGCGGTGGAATCAGGTGCTCGTCAATTTTTGGACATGAGGAGTTATTGGTATCATTTTAAAGCTTGTTCATTTGTCTTGCTTTCTGTGAAATTAATACTCATATATCATAAATAGAAGTCGAGATATTTGCGATTGAAAGAGGTGGGGGTTGCTTGGTTTCAGAGGTCAAATGATATAAAAAGTGATCGTCAAAGTTTGGCGACTTAAAAAGTTTGAGAGTCCTAAACTCTTTTTGAGCTTTAAATCCGCTTTTTTCAGTAAAATCCACACAGAAATTTGTTTTTAAATGGACCTTACACGTGTTGAGTCAGGAAACAAAAATTCTTTAAAAATTACCAAACGGACAGAAAAATGCCAGTTTGTTCGATTGCATTATTTTGACGAGCGCCTGATTTCACCACGTTGCCTTACATCTATGTTGCATGTTCCATAAAGCTCAAACTAAGATGAAAACTAATCAAATGTTCTCTTCCTCTGACAGGTTTGCGTCTCTCTGCCCCAGAAGAACTCCTAAGCTGGTGACCCCAGAACGTCGCTCCACGCTTTCTGCAGATATCTGCCGCTCATATGTAACTGGTGAATCCACCAGATTTAATTATGCGTCATACCCTCGAAAAATTTGACAATGATTTTTCTGATAAATTGGCCAACTGAGAGAAAACAACTGTTTGAAAAAATTTTGTAGAAAGTACTTCATTACAAGAAAATCATTTACAAATTACAAATTGTAGGTTGGTCTAACGTTCAGATATTTTAAAATTTCTATTTTATTACTGTCAGTATTTTCAGTTCTGGTGTACATTTTGAGAGTGAAGCAGTCTTGCAGTCATCATGTAGACTGCTTTGATTGTTCACAAAGTAATGACCTAACGGACATTTGAGACCTGAAACAAAATACGGATCTGTCATAGCTTGTGTTCTGTGTAGTTCGTGTAGCACATCTCTGCATACACCTTTTCTTGTAGTTTTTCTAGACTGCTGTTTCTTTTCTTGATTTGACAATGTTATGATTGTACTCTTTAGCTAATGCTACTGTGATTTAACTGGCAAAAGTCTTCCCATTTTACAGTATGCAACTGAAATTACTGTTGTTTATATAATCTACATTGTTGATTTTTTTTTTGGTTAAAACAAATTTGTAGTGGAAATAATGTACTCAGTCCGAGAAAAGTATTAAGTACTTTTAATCTGGCCAAGATGACATCAGAGGAATCCTACTGCGGTGTGGGTTTGTGGATGCCTCGTGTCAATGATTTATTCAATAAATTCCAAGTGTATTTTACGATAACATTGCGTTTTTCTTTGCTTCTTCGAGATTATTTAGACCAATACTCGTCAAACCTTTTTGGTAGTTGTTTGGCGGGTGCTCTGGTGTGGTTTGCTTCTTCTTTCCTATCAAACATCTATCGTCCTTATCTCCCCTTCTTCTTTTTAACATTTGTTACTCTCTTGTAACACATCTAATCTTCTGGCGCTCATTTGACCTAATGCAGTTGCGAGCGCCGTAAAACCTCTACTAAAACAAACTTTTTTGTCATGTTCATACTGTGCCGAAACAACATAGGGGTAACTGCTGCTTTTTCTTTCCTCATCCTTGCTAGTACTAATGTCATTTCCCCTCTACTTCTTTTGTATGCTTGTCACTTTCTCGTGAACTGCTATTTCCAGGGTGCCTTGATAGTCGAAGTCCAAGCAGACTTTGTGCTGTTGAGGCTAGAGAGGTGAGCAGAGTAAGCCCGATCCCTCGTTTGGACTTCTCTGTTGACATCCACCCCTTGGCGCTAAATCGACATTATGCAGTTGCGAGCGTCGTAAAACCTCACTAAAACTGAACAAAATGTCATTCTTAAGGACCAGGCTCAGTCTCGTACCCCCGAACCCACAATCTCACGATTATGAGTTAGGTAGCCTAACCGGGAAGATTGAAGAATACCGGACCACTCGTATAATTGCGTGAGAATGGGAGGGAAGGGGGTGGAGGAAATGG